GTATAATTAAACTGAGTTATTCTTCTCTAGCAACATTTTTGGTAAAACACTACTAAGTATTTTATTAATTCCACCAAAGACGTTGATCATTCTTTCATATGTTCGTGTGTTCATTCATCTCACACTATAGTGTCCTTACCAATCTCAGAGATGATTTGGAGATTGAGAAATAACCACATCCTATTCTTAAAGAGTTTAAACTGTAGTAGAGAAGGCCTAAAATCACTGCCAAAGAAAGATCATCATAGGGAAACTGTTATATCTAAGACCAAAGCCAGTTTAGGAAGGAGCAGAAAAGCAAGAGAGAAAGAAATCTTATTTATGGAATTGTAGTAGTTGATGTTATGATGTCCTATGCATGCCTGAGTTCTCAAATTAATCCTTGAAACAGTCATTCTGTAAAGATACATATTTTATTTTGTGAATCCAGAAACTGTGGCTCAAAGCCATTAAAGTTGTACAAAGTTAGCAAGTGAGTTGTCTGTAGGTAGAGACAATGTTTTTATTAACTCACTGGTTAGCTAGCTAGTATTGACTTTTAGAAGCCCTACATTTGCATAACATAGGCAAGATTTGTAGGCCATGAGATTCATTTGGTGATTCCCATTCATATATCTTACTATGTTTCAAATACTGATCCTGACTTTTGTGCTTGGATTCCAAAATCAGTCTCTTTATATGTACAGGCCATATATACTAAAAATACTGAGGAAGTTGCTAAGATATAAGAGTAATACTGAACTCTTTCATATTTGAGCTTTCTGTAAGCTTTTCTAACCTCTTTTCCCTCCACTTGCTACTGTGAGTGACCCCTGAAACTCACACAGGCTGGTTTGCTATTTCCCAGGCACATACTGTACTTTAGTCTATTTACGTCATGTGAAATGTTCTGCTCTCTTCAGTGTCACTTTTAATCCCACTCATAATTCAAGGTTTAAGCTAAAGTACATTAGTGATAAAACCAGAGGGGATAATCTGTACATTCCCTGAACACCTACCGTTATTCCTCTCCTGTGAAATCATTAAGTAATGGCTTGTTATCCCTTTTCTGTTGATTAAATTGTAATTAAGGTATTTCTGGTTAAACACACTAGTTAGCTAGTGAAATCACTGAGGGAACCATTGACTGAAAATATGTACTTACTTTAGATACAACATGGTCCCAATTAGAGAAAATTATAAAATATTGACCAATTGTATTTCAGGATCATTCCCTGATGTGCTAGAATTTATGCTGGCATGTACAGCCTGTGGGACTTATAATTGACAAGTTACCTTACAAATTACTAAAATGAAAAATTAAGTGTTAAAATACTAGAAAAAAGACTGTCATTTGAAAAATTAAAAATTGCAATAATTTTTCTCCGAATATATTTGGATTACTTTATAAAATGGTAAAATTTAGTGTCCTAGCTCAAAAATGAATTTGTCAGAGCAAGTAAACAAGTTATCCTTGCCATTACAATGATGCAGTTCCTGGTTTGCTTTCTTATTGAAATGTTTTTGTATACCACTATAGGTTCAAAGCTTACAGAGCATGCAAAGGTATATATGCCATCACGTGTGTCTGCTGTCAGCTCAAAATTTGCTTGAAAAGACACATCCAAATCAGTATACAAATTCACCCTACCAACAATTCTGAAAATACAAATGGCCTGTGACATAGCTGTCTGAATTAAAAAAAAAATAGTATCTAAAATTACTATCCATATATCAATCCTTGATAGATAAAAAACATGTGGTTTTAGATCTTGCTGTTTTGAACTAGGTTTGTGTTTTTTTTTTTATTTTTTTTTATTTTTGATTTTTGAGATGGGGTTTCTCTATGTAGCCCAGGCTGGCCTTGAACTTGCGGTGATCCTCCTGCTTCAGCCTCCCCTGTAATGGGATTACAGATGTAAGCTACCACACCTGGTTTGAACTAGGACTAGCCCTTGTTTTTACATACATGTGCCTGTGCACACATATTGCCTCTGTGTCTATGTGTATGTTCACAGCTATATGACGCAATGGAAGATGCAACTCTGAAACTTGGTAACTTGGGGATATCACTTGGCTGCTTCTCTAGGTGCCATTGCAATTATATTTAAGCTGCTTGTGAAGGTGGTCCCAGAAAAAAATACACCCACACATATATACATCCAGACAGACATACAGACACAAGCACAAATATAATAGGGTATAGATACTGTGAAAATTAAGCTCCCTATTGGAAAAATTAACATCATCACTGGATAAAGTTTGAGGCTCTTTGTATTTATGAACTACCCTCCTTCATGATATACATTGAAAAGGTTGTATTTAATAAAAGATCAGCTGAAATTTTACAATAGATTCCTTTTTTATTTTTTTCAGGTTGTTTTACTTTTTAAATTTTTAATTGAAATAAATTATTTGAACTTGTTTATGAGATAAACTGTCGTAACTGGATACTTGTATACAAAGTGCAAAGATTTTTTATATTGCAATGTATTTCACAAACCACGAGTCCTATACTGCCCAGAACAACAAATGAAAGACATTATGTGGAAGAGTAATGACAGAATGGTTAAAAATACACAATTAGACCCTTGATGGTAAAATGAAAGAATTTGTTTTATGCCATGATATGACAGAGTACCGCCCTTGTAAGATTCTTAGAACAACAAAATCATCAGTAATATGATCAGAAACACACAGGGTTATGTTTAGAAGTTTTCTTTGCCTCAAGATTGCAGGTTGCTAAAGGGCAATGGCTTTAGCTTCTGAATAATAATGTGAGGTTAACAGATACTAAGAGGTGGACTGCATTGTGGGGAATATTTGACCTACCTAGAAAAAGAAAATCTTGGATTTAGCGCTCCTTAAAATAAACCACTCATTTCTTTTATCCAGTTTTTGCAAGCTTCCTCTTTTAGGATGTGGAAAACTAAAGAGACATATGGCACTTTAAACTCAGAAGCAGTTAAAACCCTAACAGATGCACTGTATATTGGCAACTACTTATGTAATACATTAGAGCTTCAAATCCAGTCTCTGGGTTACATGTCTTTGAAACATAAAGCAGATGTGCATAAAGAAACTCTTGCTTATTATCTCTTGTCAGAAATTCTGTAGCTCTTTACTGATAAATGCTAACTGTTATTGGCCTCCTTCATTGTTCCTGTACTCTAAAACTATTGAGGAGTCAACATATTTTGTCCATATAGATAATTTTTAATATTATGACTAGCCGCTATGAGCCAGTGAGAGGTAATGCAGAACACTGGAAAGATTAGACTGTTGGGGGTGAATAGAGGTTCAAATCCCAGGGCTATGATGTCCTTGATCTAATATGTGCTTAGGAATGAGTTAATTTTAATGAGTCTCCTCTGCAAGCTGTAAATGGTAATTTTTGTTTCACTGAGCTACTATGATGATTGAACATAATAAACACTGGTTACTTCTCATCCCTAATCTACTGCCATTGTGTACAATTTCCATTTTTCTCAAACGTGAACCCATGTATGGCACCATGCTCATAGCAACATTAGAATTTAAGGCAAGTCCTTTTTCCTCCAAAGAAACTGGATTGAGATTTTCTCTGTGTATGAAATAATCAGGAACCTATACATTTATATCATTTTCCACAGTAAACTTGTCATGTATTTTCATAGCTAAAGCATTTTTAAAAATTCTATGTAGGGCTGTGAATGTGGCACAGTGCTACATCACTTGCTTAGTGTGTCAAAGGCCCTGATTTGGGGCACAGGGGCCCCAATATAAACAGGAAAAAAATCCTCTATCTCATACATAAATCATAAAAGTATGAGTTTGAAGAAAAGTGGCGAGAATGAATGGAAAGAGCTTGAATTATCAAACTGTTCTCTGTAATATTAATAAACTGTAATACACAGGCATCACCTACCCTGTCCCCTGCTTTTAGCTTAGCTCTCACTGAGAGGAAGATTCGTGTAGCCAGAGTTGGGGGTATGAGTTGAATGCTGGTATCATTTCCTGTTCTAAGTTGGATTCTACTTGTGATTATTATTAGGGCATTTTTTTATTTATTAATCTTATTGAGTTTATTGGTACATTTTAGGGATACAGTACAGTTACATTCATTGTTGGGATCATGTACCTCTACATGGCAAGTCTTGATTCTCATTTTTTCCCCTTACCTCTGCCCTCCCTTCACCTCCTCCTCCCCTCCCCATCTACAAACACTTTATTAGGGCATTTTTATTATTTTTGATATATTAGAGATAAAACCAAGGGCTTTGTGCTTGATAGGCAAGTGGTTACTTCTCCACAGCAACACACCTCCAGCTTCTAATGTTAATTTTTAAAAGGACCTTAATACTAGAAATCCCTCGACCTATTCATCATTTCCTCATCTGTTAGGGAATTCTAATAACAAGGGTTATAGTGGTTATGTTGATAAAGTATTAGTATCGCTTGATGTCTATTTTGTTGTCTAGAACAATGCTCTTTGCAAGTATTAGTTTCCTTCATTAGTGTTTTAGTCTTTGATTTCCCTTATTTGTTACAGTAAATGTGTAAAATGATTTGCATTTCTAAGCAATGACCTTTATAACAGTATGGAATTATAACAGAAATTATCCACTTTTCCTTTCCTGTCATCCTTTCTTCCTTCCTTCCTTTCCCCCTCAACACTTCCCTCCTAACTTCTTTCTTCATGTGTTTTTCTTGCATAATTTTCTTTTCTAATTGAGAACTTTAAATCACCAGGCTCAATGTACAGTATATTAGAAAATTCACAAATTTGAAAATGTCTATGACTGTTATAACCAAGTCTTTTGGGTCTATCACAAGAAACTAGAAGGAATGGAGATAACCAAAAAAATTAATCAAAACTGTATCATGTAAAGGTACAAATTCCCAGTGATGAATGTCATCGTATTGTATACCTAAAATGTACCAATTAACTTAATGAATAAAAAGTTATATTAATAAAAGACATATTTATTAGAATTACACAGCTTATCCTAGAATTCAAGTTCCATAATTTTCCATTTAAAATTTTATATTTTTCAAGTTCATATTACATGTTTAATTTTTCATTAGTTTTATATACCTCTTTATGTTGACTAATTTGTTGTAATGCATTTACAATACTGACGCTGAGTTAAACAAAGTATATAGCATAAATTTGTATCTACCACTCAACTTTTAATTTGTTGACAAAACAAAAAAATGGGCTTTTAAGGCTAAATAAGCATGTAAAGCATTTTTGTAATTATACTTTCAAGAAGAAAGTGAACTACAGCAAAAAAAAAAAATCTTTATTTTCAATAGTCTATGACAATTGAACATTGAGATAGATAGAAAGGGTCAGTTTGCTGCTTTTTCCCAATAGGTAGAACTCAAGTTACATAGTACCCAGTGGTATTCCATTTTGCTGAGAGGTGATTCTAAATATAATTCATGAATACAGTGGATAACCAGGCATCTTAGGATCTGTATTACTATGGTTCGCAAGGGTCCCTTACAGACCCACATGTTAAAGTTTTGGTTGCCAGCCTTTATAGGTGGGTCCTGTGGAACGATGTTAGGTTATTAGGGGCCTGACCTTGAAAAAGATATCAAGATTGTAGCCCCTTCTTGTTCTGCTCTCCCTTATTTCTCAGCTACCTAGGGTGAACTTCTCTCTTTCCTATAAACTCCTGTTATGATGTACTGCTTTACCACAGGACTAAGGACGAAAGCACAAGTGGTCATTGACTAAAACTTCTGAACTGTGAGCCAATAGAAACGTTTTCTCCTGTTAAGATGAGTGGCTCAGCGATTTTATCCCAGCAACAAAAGGCTGACTAACACGTATACTTATTTCCAGTAACTTTGAAATAATGGACAAGATCCCTTCTACATTTTAAGTTTAATGGTGACCAAATCCTCTAGGTCAAACACAACAGTTTTAAAAGTATAGAAGTTGGGTAAATCAAGGTAGTTCTGGAGGTGAAATAAATACTGTTCATTCATAATTGTTCTAGGGTAGTTGTGGAGAACCTATGGCATGAGAGCTGCAGTGGGTACGCAGAGCTGTCTCTGTGGGCACGTGAGCCAAGTTGTCCCAGCCACTGAGCATTGGATAACAATTGTTTTTCTCTAAACTAAAACCTCAGTATTAGAGTTTAATGGCATTGTTGGCACTTTGAGATAAATAAGTGGGTTTGGGGTTGTGGTTTGGGCACTCATCTCTAAATGGTTTACCATCATTCTTAAGGCAACAGATGTAAACTGGGATCATCTAGGGCAAATCAAAATGTAGGGTCAACAGATGGAGCTTGGATGGAAACCATCCTAATCACAGGCTACAGCGAGAGATCACATGCATGCCAAATGGGTATAGATTGTCTAGTTTTTCTAAATAATAATCCAGATTCATTATTATTTTTCTCCTCGAAGTGATACACGCTTTGGTATGTTTGTCTTTTCCTGGCTACTCTACAGTTATTCTGACAAGAACCCACAGATTGTTTCTCAGTGACAGTTTCATAGGAAAACCTTCTCATCAGGGAGGTATATCAGGAAAAAAATGTACATCGATCATGTTGAATCAAGACAATTTTTCAATACTTCTGGAAATAATCATTACTGCCTATGAATGAAGTGCTTGTGATAAGGAGAGGACCAAGGTGAGTAGAGCTGTGTAAGACCCTCCATATCAAATATTTTATTTAGGTGTTGACCATTTTCAAAACAAAGATATTTGGTATTTTTCCGTAATAGCTTTAATAGTAATAAGTATTTGTTAACATTGTGTGAGTGTGTTTGTGTGTGTGTGTGTGTGTGTGCGTGTGTGTGTTTATGGTCTTGAGTTGTGGTTGACACATTTTTCAGTATTAATATTTTGCAAAGAGGGGTTAATATTTTATTCTGTTTTTTTGAGGATAAAGTGACAACATTTTCAAAGGTTAATTTTTGTTCCACTGGATATGGAAACAACATTTTTTCCTCTTTGGTTAGAAAATTGTCCTAATGATTTTCTTTAAAGACTTGTGGATGAAAAATATTAAATTAATCCAAAATTATGAACTTTGTAGAATTCATCCAAATAAAGCATCACTGACCTAAACACCAAACCAAAACAGGTATTTCAAACTTAAATTATTAACGGAGTCTGTATTTTTTTTCTCTAAGATGCTTTCTGATTTTAGCCTTTTAGGTACCAGTCATTTTCAAGGCTTTCCAGGTCCTTTGAACAAAATACCAAAGATCTGCAGCCTTTTTCACAGGCCTTTATCATGGCAATGCTCGACACTAATATGTGACTCCCTATCATTTAACCCAGTTTGTCCATGAGTTCCTTTAGAGATGTGTGTTTAGCATGTCTAGTAATATGAGACAATTAAAATTACTTGAATTAATAAAAGGTGCACAGAATAGTCAAAGTGGTTGCAGTGCTGAAGTTCCAAGAGTTGTTATAAGGAGAGACACAGGTGAATTTGCATATTATGTTTGAAAATATTTTTAAAGAATCCCTATGTATAACATAGTGCCCTTTAGGAGAACTGATCTTGAAATCTAGACAAAATTTCTTTTATATTTGGATAAAAAAGAATCTATATTTGCTTATACCAGTGACCTGGCTTATTGTAGTCTCTCTTTTTTTAGTGTCCTCATGTGGAAAATGAGAATTCTGTCACTTATATGTTGTATGCATTATATAAGTAAATATGAAAAGTGGAAATGTTTTGTAATCCTTAGAGGAAAAGATGAGTGTAAAAATTTGGAAATAGATGATCCAATTTCTTACATATTACTTGGTTGCCTCTTTGATATTTTGGGGTAATATAAATGCCTATAGTCTGTAGAAGCTATATATCATACTGATATATTAATTTAGGTCAGAAGTCAGCAAACTTTTTCTATAAAGTGCCTGATAGCAATATTATAGGCTTTGCAAGTCAGCTGGTTTGTGGCTTTATTTAATTCTGCCATTGCCAGGTAAAAGCTGACATAGACCATATGTAAATAATATGGGTATGACTGTATTTCAATAAAACCTTATTTACTCAAAAGAATTTCATGGGCAATAGATTTTAACCATTAATTAGGCCAAGATGTAGATTAATTTAATAAAGTGTATAAGATTTTTACTTCATCAGAGGGTGGTGTTAATGCTGTGAAAATACAACCTTTTAGAGGAGGAAAACTCCGTATACTCTTCAAAGAGATTGATAATTCCTCATGAAGTTTTAATTTAAAACATTTTTGAGGGAAAAATAAGTTTACATGGGGCTGTATCATGAAAAAGAAACATTTTATAAATTATTATTTGGCTTTTATGTACCTAACAAATAATGTTTAGTTACATTGGCAATGTAGGCCTGACTTTTGGGACGAGAGTATCATGCTTTGCTGAAAATACTTACTGTATATTTGCAATTGTCCACGAAATGAATTCTTTCCACGCGAGTTTTCAGCTCGGCATTCATAGATGCCTGCATCGTCCAGCTGCACATTTGGTATTTCCAGCACTGCCTGAGATTTCCGCAGTCGTGACTTACTAGGAATATAGCCATTAACCTTCATCCATGTGATGGTTGGAACAGGACTACAATAGAGAGCAAAATATACTGTTAATACACTTTCCACTATTAGAAACATAGATTTTGTTATCTGGTAATTTAAGCACTTAATAGGCTGAGTGCAATAAAATGTAATCACAATTAAGGACCATGTACCAGTTGATATACTTCACTTTCCATGTGGATTATCTGATAAGTAGCACAGAAGAGTAGAGTCTTTTTATTTCAGTACAGCAAATCAGAGATGTTAGGTATATTAGCACATTACACTTTACTTTTTAAGCGTTATAATTTAAATGACAAAAGTAATTTGGCAAAATTACTAATAAATGCTTAATATGTCAAACAAAAGTTATGAATTAAATCAAGAACTTTCTCTTCTTGATGCAACTTAATATGTCTTTCTTCAATAAAATACAGTTTATATGCCTCTATGACAGATATATCTACATGTATAATGAGCTAGTTTTGTCTTTTTCAAAAACATAAAATAAATACACTTATTATTAAAAACATATTTAATAAATACTGGACTGATTTATTCTGATTATTTGCTACACATCATGTCCTTGTGCAGATGTAACATAATTTAATCAACTGCCTCTCATACTTAGACATTTAGGGGAGTACCAGTTTTGTTTTATTCTTTTCCTTTTTGACACTGAAAAAACAATGCTATTATTGATAATCCTTAACATGTATCATGTACTACTGCTTTTATTTTCTCCAGAAGATATTTAAAAGAATTAATGGATCAAAGGGTATGGACTTTTTCATTTTAAAAAATACTGTCAGATTGTTTTCAATAATATAGTAGTAGTTCCTATACTTATCAGCAACATATGGTATTTTTCATCATATTCTTACCAGCGTTTTATGTGACCAATCTTCTTAATTTTTGTCAGTACTGATGAATAAAAAGTGGCATTTTGTTGTTTATTTAATACTTCCCTGAGCCTTAAAACAGTTGGACATTGTTCAGTTTATTGGCCATTTACCTCTACATTTGTATGAATTGTTTACTCATATTTATTTTCTTTTATTTTTAATGATCTATGTGCATTAATTTCTCAGTTTTTCTGTGTATTGACTGTTCTTCAGAAATATTCTTCCTCATTGTATTATTAACTTATGGGATTCCAATTCTATAAAAAATTTTCAGGACAAAATTCCATATGACTGTTTTCTTGTTTAGAAAATTATCTGTAACCCCGTTTATATCAATATTTTCTGCAGAATGTTTAGTAGCATTTAAATTTTTAGGTCTTTAAACCATCTAGGCTATATGAATGTTTTAAGTGAGATAGGAATATAGCAAATTATTTCAGCATATTGAACAAATGAAATTCCTTTTTTACAATATATAATTGTTATTTCTGTCATTTAATTGGTTCTTACACCCTTATACCTGTTTTAGTTTTCCCTGTTCTGTTTTGCTGATTTAATGCTATTTATACTTTATATACTTTACGGTCTGGACCCAGTCTACTTTCCCAGCTTGATTTCACACTACTCCCTGCTTCTATCTTCTGACCCAGAAACACATCTCTCTGTGTTTTCAATCATATCTGTTAAAATCCTACTGCTCCTTTGAGACCTGTCCTAAATGCCTCTTCTTTAGCAGAGTTATTCATAGCCAGCTGAGATGTTTTTCTTTTAAATAATAAAATGCTTCATTATATCTTACTTATATTTCTAACATTTAAAAAATGATATGTGTAGAATACTTTTCCAAAATATTATAGCAAAAGATATTATTTTTGCTATAGGGAACATGGTAATATACATTAATGTAAATAACATTAAGTCATTACTTGCCTATGTTTGAATACCTTCCTGATTTGTTTTCTTAGTAATAAGATATGAGGTTGCAGAATTAAAGAGTTGACAATCTTGCTTGTTTGTTTAGGTACATATATTTAAAACCCAGAATAGTTGGACTTTAGAAAAACTGATACATCAACAATGGCGTGACATTTTACTATCATCTTAATTGATTTGTAGCTTTTTATTTAGGATTTTACCTGCTATATTCAAAGGTGAGATTGCGCTAGCCCAGGATGTTTTTATATAAATTTATTAGTGAGTTTGTGTTTGATTGTGTATAGTTGGCTTTGACAGATGTGACATCATAATGGTTGAGAATTGCCTGCTAAATATGCCAAAATATTTGTATTGCCTTTTTTGCATCAACATAAACAATAGAAAAAGTATGCTTCCTTGAAATACTTATAGGAATAAAAAAAGTTACCTGAATCTCCCAGTGTCAAAGGAGTTAATTTTTTAAAACTTTTTTTAACTATGTTTCCTTTCTAAAACTACGTTTTAAAACTATGCGATGAAATTCTGCTGACAAATTAGTTATTTCATGTTCCATGAAAAAAATCCATCATTTTGTCCATAATTTCAGTGGTACTTACTAAATGTTGTATTTTTAAAATTTATTACCAGTTGTAAGTGGTAGCGGTTAAACAAAGTGTAGTTTGACAGCCAGTCTCATTGGTATAAAAGTGGCTCTTTGACTACAACCTACTTAACATCTCACTTCTTAGTTCCTTATATTGTAAAATATGGTGGAAATATTACCACTTGTGGTACAATGTATTTGTGATTATTTGGAAAATTTGAAGTCCCTAGCACAGAGTAAGAAAGTTAAAAAATTGCAATACCACAGTGATTCACTGTACGCTTCATAAATTTAATGGCATAAATGATTGTTTTATCTTCTCTCTTTACAGAAGTACCACATACTGGTTAGGTGCATGGACCCTCAGAAGCTCCTGGATTACACACACTATGGCCGTGCTCACTTTGGCAGCACATACCCTAGAAACACAATATGGACACAGAGATGCTAGGTGACTTAAGGAAATTTACTTAACTTCTTTGAATTTGTTTTTCCCATCTGTAATGGGGATATTTCTTTATTGTTCCAAAATGTAAATGGCTCTAGGATATCAAAATAACTTCCTTTCTTTAGTTAGTGTGCCCAGAGTGCCTTATAGAAATTTGGCTATATTTTTAGTACTCAGTAAATATTTATAAAATAAATTAATGATTCTCATAAAATTATTGAAAACATGATCAGACAGGTTTTTGTAAACTAGTTACCTTAGAACTATTCGTGACAAAAATTACCCAATAAATGTTAGCAATGATGATTTTTACCTTTGCCAGAAGTTTCTCTCTTTTATTGTTCTTTAAATAAGCATTTTGAATTCAACTACTTTTTGTGTTTCAATTCATGAACTTCTCCTTTGCATTAATAAATTTCTCTTTCTTGGTCACTATCTTTAAGTATAGTCTAGTACTTTATTCTCAGATAATCAATATAATCATTGTGGTTAATAATAAAGAAATTTAAGTTTGCCATTTCCTCTAATAATGAGATGTAGCACCATACATATTTTGATAGCAGCCTTTTGGCATCTGCTTTTTCGGAACTTGCAGACCAAATCTTTCTGGGGAAACATAAGATCAATTTCCGTGTAAATTTTACATTTATGTGAAAGAAGGAATCTTTTTATAATATATTTTTAAAATTAGACAGATCATTTTATGTCAAAAATTGTTTTAGTATATTTCATAATCTGCAAACACTTTCACTTCCTATCCAATCAAACATTGTGAATTACCTGTGCACTAAAATAAAATAAAAATCCCACATGTGGTGATTAGAGCTGAGTGTCAACAGGACGGGGATCTGCTCTGGGAACTGGAAGCGCAGTTTGGCTGTGACTGGGCAGGCCATGGAAGCCTGGCCTTCACCTTTGTGTCTGGCCCCCTGCCTTGTTCTCTCGGGCACTATGACCCTGCTCTGTAGCCTTGGGCAGGAACTAAGCAGCTTTGCTCACCAGTACCTTTTGCCATGATGTTTCTGCTTTGGAGTCAGCTGCCCATGAACTGAATCCCCTTCAAAGCTGAGCTAAAGTAAACCTTTCTTCTTTTAAACTGTGGGTGTCACATATGTCCAGCAGTGGAAAAGCTGGCTAACACTTTATATCAACAAGTACAAAGCGTTTTGGCTTGAAGTAGGGATGAGGTCGTCTGTTTATGCATGCATGCCATTTAAAACTACTCTATTCTTTTTCAATTTTGTCATAATTGATGTGTCAGACAGAGAAATGCTTTAATTTCCCACTACTCCCATTATAACTTGTAGCTTGTTAAATTTCAAAAAGTTTTATTTTGTATTTTAATTTATTTTCTCTCGACACAGATGTGAATAAAATATTGACTTTAGAGTTTTAATTATCTTTATTGAAATAAAATTATATTTTATAATATATTTTTACTTTAAAGGGTTTTAAAGGACTCCATTAAAATCATGTATCCTCTTGTTTTACTTCATTTTTTGTTGTATATCACTTTGAATTGTTTCCTCTATATAGCAAATGATCAGGCTTAATTTTTTATGTCAACACTAGAGTTGCACATCTTTGTGAAAAAGTATCAGTTTTTGACTTTTTAGTTTTGTTGTTGCAATTCATTCACATGTTCTTATTCAGCCTTCTCAGAATTATTAAATACAGACTAACACATTTCATATCTCATGCTAATAGCAAACAACCTTGGACATAAAATTGATGCATTCAAAGCTAAGAAAGGAAGAGATGACTACAAGATAATTATACGATTAAAAAATAAAAATTTAGAAATAATGGTATGAATATAAAACTTTACAAAGCTGAAGAGCTTATTTCTGAAAATACTTGAGAAGTTATAGTATTTTATGCAAAAAGAGACGCTGAGAGAAAGGACTAATGAAATGTTTATGGCTCTCAGTTGATAGATATGATACAAAACTAGAGAGTATAAAATAAATTCAGTGAAGTCTAAGAGATGGAGACAGGGATAGGGGAGAGGGAAGAGAGGAGTCTAAAGACAGAAGATTACATGGTATCTTCAGAGAAATGGCATACATTTTTCCAAAATGATAAATGACATGATCCCACAAATGCAGGACATGTGATACATGCAAAGCATAGCTAAAGCCAAAGAACACATATATTAAAAAATTACCGGA